TTCCTTCCTTCCTTCCTTCCTTCCTTCCTTCCTTCCTTCCTTCCTTCTCTTCTCTTCTCCTCCTGCCACTCCCCACCCCCCACTCCCCGCCTACAGGTTTCTCCCTGTAGCCCTGTCTGTCCTGGAACTCTCTCTGTAGAGGAGGCTGGCCTCAAACTCACAGAGATCCACCTGCTTCTGCCTCCTGAGTGCTAAGATTAAAGGCCTGTGCCACCACCACCCATTGGCTACACTTACAGAGATTTAGATACTTATCAAACTACTCACGAATCAAGGTTATAAGTTTCATTTAAACCTTATTTCATTCACTTCCTGTTAGTAAAATCTACATATGTGATACAATGAAATTATAGGACTCGGGGTGTAGTTTGACACTGCAGGGCTTGCTTAGCATGCACAGGGTCCTGGCTCCATCCCAAAACAGACAAATCAACCAACAAACACCTCACACTCAAACTGGGCATAATGGCTCACATACATAATCCTAGCATTCAGGACAAGAGGCAGAAAGATAACATGTTCAAATCCAGCCTGAACTACATGATGAGATCCTGGCTTTAAAGTGGGGCAAAGTTTTCATTTACACACAGATATGCCATCTGAAATTCTTTTTTGTTTTTGGATTTTTTGGTTTGGTTTGTTTTTGGTTTGTTGTTGTTTTGAGTCAAAGATAAAGTGACTGTTTCTCTAATAGCCACATCCCGGTTTCCTTTTGTTGTTTCCTAAAAACCAAAGAGAACAAATAAATAAACAAACTCACCCCAATAATATTTTTACACAAAACATGATCAGTCTCAAATCTTCCTTTTAGACTTTGATTTCACCGCAAAAGTGATGCCAAAGTGATGCTTCGTGTTAAGTATGGGGATGGAAGGCACTAGTAAAGCCATCATTCTCCACACCAGAGAGCTGGATAGTGGCTTAACTTTATGCCACTTTACATTACATTACCTTGTTTTTGAATTCAGCAGTGGTCATGAACCTTGCTGAAACACTGGACCTCTCTCTCCAACCCTCCCCCCAAAGTCAGTAATCCGCTCCGCATTTGCTGTTTTACAAATTAAAAAGTATCTTAATAATAAACAAGTTCTCAATACAAGTCTTCTTCTAGACAGTAAAATTGCACTTTAAATTGCTATTTGGTGAATTACGAAATTCAGAAAAACAGCAGTAATAGTTTTTAAAAGTATTCTAACTGTGCCCTTCCACTAAATTTTTAAGTTATACTTTAAAAATCAGTTTCATTGCTCAAATTGAAAAATTTCAAATCTCATTCATATATTTGTAAAATCATGGGCTCAAAATATGTCAGCTCTGCTCTCAATTTTTCGACATAAATTTGAACTCTATATTAAAAAAAAAACATTTCCAACTGGAAAACAATTTAATCTGCATCTCTTGCTGATATACCACAGGGGGTCTGCCTGGAAACTGCTCACACTGAGGCTGGGAGAAGCATAGCTGGAAAACACTTGTAGGATCTGTTCCCAGTTGACTGGGGAGCCCCATGGGGCCCTGCAATCTCCACCCCTGGCACATGCAGTTTTTAGGCTCTTTTGCTAAGAAACACTGATCAACAGAACCAATTACATATAACACGAGCATTCAATGTCCGTGCCCAAACCCAAGCCATCACAGAGCTGGAAACACGAAGGAATTTGTTCCATCGATCTGAATGGTATTCATAATTTGTACTGATTGCATCAGGGTTTCCTTTAAGCAGGGCAACAGTTTTTTTCCTTCTCCTGCAAAATGTTCACAGCGAATAAAACAATGTGTGAATGCAGCTCCATGCACAGGGCTTGCCAGTTGTGACTGCCATCCCATCTGCACACGGCCTGGCACTGGGTTGCAAAGGAGAAATTCAGTAAAAGCACACACATTTCTTATCTCAACATGTCTCGGCTAGATGTTTGGGAAAGCAAAGAATACAAATCGGCCCTAAGTGTAGGCCATTTCACATCATAATTCACAGTGGCCAAAACTTTTAAAATGTTGACACAACATAAAAAGCCAATGTTATGCTTTTTCATTAATACCTGTCCATGTAAT